GTCGTACGTCCCATATCCTGACCTACCAAAGGACCCACGAACAGAAAACGGGACATCATTATGTCAATTTCGCAAGCCGCTACCATTTGGCCTTAGGTAAAGTAGACGTCAAAATGCGACGTGCTGCTATAAGGACGGGTTCCATACACAACCGACCTGCGCGGAGCCCATTTTCTAAAACGTACTTACGTGTTCCTCACCTGGCGCGTTTCCTAAATGTTTACACATGGGTTCTTCACATAGTGTTCGTGTAAGGCATACATATGTATAACCACACATAGCTCGTTTTCTAAAGCAAGCGCTTGCCTTCCTCGCTTACCTTACTTTCTAGGTGAGGAAGGAAAGAAGAGACTTTCTTTCTATATGCCGCTAGATTAGGCTACATCAGTTTATGCTACATTAGATTAGGTTAGTTTGTTTTGGATTTAGCTTGATTAGGTTAGGTTAGGTTGTTTTGGTTAGTTGTTTTGGTTAGGTTAGGTAGGTAATAATAATAATAAAATATAATACGTTGGCGATCCGTTTTATTACGAAATGACGAAGGTCCAATTAAGCCTAATCTGGCGTCAACTCCTACTGGTATGGTGTAAATTAGCTTTTATGGTATATATATTATAGCGTATACTGACTGACATGGTGTATAGTGACTCATGGTATATACTGACTGGCATGGTGTATAGTGACTCCCATTGACCACGTAGCTAAAAAATGTGCCTCCCTACATACGTATGGGAATAATTGTCTCCCACATCACTATGAGTCACTTTCACTTCACTTTCACAATCACAATCACTTTCAGGACACCTCAACCTTCAGCACACTGATAATAGTTACACATTCACTACCATCACCCTCAACAATCGTTACAAGAATTGTAGCATCATGAACACAATCACAATAACATACATGTTGTTGATAATACATATATTTACAATACTGTGTTGATGCAACAGTTAAGACAGTGGTGTACACTATGGCAAGCTAAGTGGAGTGCTGATCTATTGTCTTCAAGGGCTTGTAAAGATTGTTACGTCCATGTCTAAAGTCATGGCTACATCATTTTACATGTTGCAGCAATTAGTTAGTTATCTAAGCAAAGTTAGGATTAACTAAATGTTTTATTGACTAGTTTTAATGTTATCTTCGTTAATTAGGACTTAAATTTAATGTAAAGTTTTAGCTAAGTGGAAGTTAAGTTTCCCTTAAACTTATACTAAGTTGATAATAGTTCTTCCAAACAAAGTCCAACCACTTGGGCTGGACGGTAGAGCGACGGTCTCGCTTCATGCAGGTTGGCGTTCAATCCCCGACCGTCCAAGTGGTTGGACACCATTCCTTCCCCCCGTCCCATCCACAAATCCTTATCCTGACCCCCTTCCCAGTGCTATATAGTCATAATAGCTTGGCGTTTTTTCCCTGATAGTTCCCTTCTTCCAAACAAAATTATAAATCTTATAGGTTGTACATGACACAACACTCACCCAGGTTTTCCCTCAGGTTCCGTAGGATCCCGCCCCCGTCACCAGGGTCTCACGCGCCTTCAGGAGGAAAGGATTCAGTCCTCTCTCTCGTGCAGAATTCTCGACAACGTCGTGAGGACAAATCCTTTAATGGGGACCTGGAGACTGTGTCCACGACGCCAGGAGAGCCCGAAGGATGTGCGGGAGAGAGCAGAGCTGATCTTCCTGTGGGGCAACAGACATCGAGGAAGAATCGGTGGCGAAACGACGAAGAAGGGCGAGGTGACGGCGCTTGTTGGCGGCCACTTCGGTCGTCTCACACAGAGCGGAGTTTGATGGCCAAACGACGTGTCGTGCGGATGTTGTTCGTGCTTGTGGCAGAGTTCTTCATCTGCTGGTCACCGCTCTTCATCGTCAACCTTCTCTCTCTGTACATTCCCCGGCAGGTGTACGCCGCCCTGGGTAGCTTCGGCGTGTCACTAGTGCAGCTGTTGGCGTACCTCTCCTCTTGCTGTAACCCCATCACCTACTGCTTCATGAACGCCAACTTCATCCAGAGCTTCAGACAGACGTTCGGCTGTCCCCGCCGCAGACCCAACTATTCCTTTCGCAGTGGGTATGACAGCAGCTTCAAGAGCGCCACCGCGTTCACTCACACGCACCTACGAGTGAACGCCGACCAGCCCATCACCATGACGCAGTTGAGACCTAACCAGCGGTGCCCCTCGGTGCGTCACAGTCCGCGGACGCCCACGCGACATGCCCAGCGGCAGCTGACTCTGAGCTGCGGCCAAGGGCCGTCGACGGCATCTCGGACACACAGCACAAGCTTCACCAACAAACTCCTCACCAACGGGGCAACTCCAGCTTCCCAGACCCGCTCCAGCTCCCTCTAGCGGCCAGGCTCACACATCATACTTACAAGAGTCTACGATATTTCAACTTCCAATGATAAAAACAGATTACCATGAGGGCACTAATACAGCGCTTCAGTGGCAGTTTTCGAGCTCACGAAGCGAATGTTCTTATGACTATTGTACGTAGATGTTCTCAACATCAGCCCCCCTAGAGCTGGCCGTCTTAATGTGATCAAAGCTCCGGTGTTTTCTATGTTCAAATGTTAATCTTACATAACTCCATAACTTAATCAAAACTGAACAGTTGTACCTGTGTTGATCAAAACTGTATTTAAACCTCCGCTCTCAGCGAGCAGCGGTAATTGTTGTTCTACGTGTTCAAAATGTTGCAAAGGTTAATATAACAGTGTTCTTGAACTTTGGTAGAGAGCATTAAATGGTTGGCAGAGTATAGCCAGGCGCACGGCTGTATAGCCAGGTGCACGGTTGTATAGCCAGGTGCACGGTTGTATAGCCAGGTGCACGGCTGTATAGCCAGGCGCACGGCTGTATAGCCTGGTGCACGACTGTATAGCCAGGCGCACGGCTGTATAGCCAGGTGCACGGTTGTATAGCCAGGTGCACGGCTGTATAGCCAGGTGCACGGCTGTATAGCCAGGTGAACGGCTGTATAGCCAGGCGCACGGCTGTATAGCCTGGTGCACGGTTGTATAGCCAGGTGCACGGCTGTATAGCCAGGTGCACGACTGTATAGCCAGGCGCACGGCTGTATAGCCAGGTGCACGGTTGTATAGCCAGGTGCACGGCTGTATAGCCAGGTGCACGGCTGTATAGCCAGGTGAACGGCTGTATAGCCAGGCGCACGGCTGTATAGCCTGGTGCACGACTGTATAGCCAGGCGCACGGCTGTATAGCCAGGTGCACGGTTGTATAGCCAGGTGCACGGCTGTATAGCCAGGTGCACGGCTGTATAGCCAGGTGCACGGCTGTATAGCCAGGTGCACGGTTGTATAGCCAGGTGCACGGCTGTATAGCCAGGTGCACGGCTGTATAGCCAGGTGCACGGCTGTATAGCCAGGTGCACGGCTGTATAGCCAGGTGCACGGTTGTATAGCCAGGTGCACGGCTGTATAGCCAGGCGCACGGCTGTATAGCCAGGTGCACGGTTGTATAGCCAGGTGCACGGCTGTATAGCCAGGTGCACGGTTGTATAGCCAGGTGCACGGCTGTATAGCCAGGCGCACGGCTGTATAGCCAGGTGCACGGTTGTATAGCCAGGTGCACGGCTGTATAGCCAGGTGCACGGCTGTATAGCCTGGTGCACGGCTGTATAGCCAGGCGCACGGCTGTATAGCCAGGTGCACGGCTGTATAGCCAGGCGCACGGCTGTATAGCCTGGTGCACGACTGTATAGCCAGGCGCACGGCTGTATAGCCAGGTGCACGGCTGTATAGCCTGGCGCACGGCTGTATAGCCTGGTGCACGGCTGTATAGCCAGGCGCACAGCTGTATAGCCTGGTGAACGGCTGTATAGCCAGGCGGAAGTCTGCTAAAATATTTCATTATGTAAGAACTTTACAACCTTTTATATTTCCACCATTAAGAGCCGCCATCTTGTGTAGTTAATTTGACTGCGGCTTCACTCCCCTGTGGCACTCCACTCTAGTGGCACCCAGCGTCTGTGGCACTCCGGTCTAGTGGCACCCAGCGTCTGTGGCACTCCGGTCTAGTGGCACCCAGCGTCTGTGGCACTCCGGTCTAGTGGCACCCAGCGTCTGTGGCACTCCGCTCTAGTGGCACCCAGCGTCTGTGGCACTCCGGTCTAGTGGCACCTAGTGCCTTTTCTACCCCCGAACCTGTGGCACGCCACGCTTGTAACACCCCGTTCCTGTAGTACTCGGAGCTGGTGCCACCCAGCGCTCGCGGCACCCGGCGCTCGCGGCACCCAGCGCTCGCGGCACCCGGCGCTCGCGGCACCCAGCGCCTGCGGCACCCAGCGCTCGCGGCACCCAGCGCATGCGGCACCCAGCGCTCGCGGCACCCAGCGCCTGCGGCACCCAACGCCTGCGGCACCCAGCGCCTCACGAAGACCCGCCGAGCCCTCAACTTAATATCAAACTCCTGCTACTTTGATCAGCGATCACCTTTGATGCCCCATTCCCAGCACCAGGCTCCTGGCTCCTTACACATTCTTTTCCTATTGCCTTCACGACAGAGTGAGTACTGTGGGAGGTCTTGACGGTGGCTGGACATGCTCTCCGCCCCTGTCTGTCTATCTGTCTGTCTGTCTGTCTGTTTCTCTATTTCTCTCTCCTCAGTTATTACTAACAAGGATCACAAACAAGTTCTGTACCGGACACCTACAGGGACTAATAACATGCCAGGAGGAGTCCATCATCTTGAGAGTGTCAGCCTTCAATGTGGAGTGTCTGCTGGGCCTCCTGGCTACTTCTCAGAATATCTTGGTCCTCCGCGTCCTCCCGGTGCTGCTCAACACGTCCTCACACACACACACACACGGCAGCCGCAAAATGGCTTCGGTACAGCTTCACATCCATTGTTTCCAAACAGATGTGCACCTTCCCTTCTCAAGACTCGTTTCCAGAATACAAATGTGAGTTTTACCTGAGACACAGGCTAAAAACGGCCTCTGAAATTCTTTATGCAAGTTGCTATTAGGCGATGATGTACTGTAGCGAGTACTCTGGCCGCCACATACGCGACCGACGGAGTCAGTTTCTTTGTCCTGTGATGTGTCATTTGCATGTTTAGGCTCAATAACCACAGTGTGTTTGGCATTTGAGAGAGTAACGTCAATGTTGTGTTTGGAGCGCTGTAGCAAGATCTTGTTGAGCCGTGTCTGGCATAATCTCACTACTCTTGACTATTTTCTTGAGTGTTGGCTGTAATGCTAAATCCAAAATGTTGTAGCTTATAAGAGCTGCAGCAACACCCTATGTTGTACTGTAGCGAGTACTCTGGCCGCCACATACAACACGGTATGATGTACTCTGGACCTAACAACACATGGCACGCTGCCATGAATATCTAAGGTGACCCGTCTCTCGTGCCCTGTTCGGTTCACAGTTGTAGTGTTCTTCATCATTACTATAGTAGTAGTAGTAGGCATCCATCTGTCTCAGGAGACTATGGAGTTGCGCTCTGGTTGTCGGTCTGGAGTGGCCTCTCCAGGGCGCAAAGCCAGGCTACGTTGATATGGGGAAGAAGCTGTCACCCATGCAGCAGGTCCCCCCTTCTCCACGGCGCCGAAAGTCTCCAATGGAAGGACAAACGCCAATACGATTGGTTCCAGCGCCGTCGCAGGAACTGTCAGAACGAGGTTGAAGGCAACAGCGAACTGCCTTATGGGGCTCCAGCCCCCGGAGTTGACCTCGAAGTTGGTAAAGAAGGCACAGGGACTCGGGACCCAGAGACCGTCGTGGTCGGGGCCGGAGAAGAACCACCCCAGCAAGGGTAGGAACGACCCCAGCCTCCTGAAGCAGAGCCTGGGGGGCCGCACGAGCCCCAGGAGGTGGACGGCCCGGTCCCGCACCTACGGGTTCCTGACAGAGATCCTCACAGCCCTCTTTCACCCGAGGCCCGCTTCCTTCATGACCCAGCACAAGGAAGAGTAATAATTATTAATTACAACAATTATTATTATTATAATAATAATATATTTACTTAATACTTATTACTCTTCCTTCTTGTGGGTCAAGAAGGTGTGATAATTGTGTGATAACACGGCCTTGTTGGGCGCGGCATCATCATAGCTGACAATCACCCCAAGATCTAAAATAAATTATATATATATCACTTATGGCTTTTTCAGTAAAATAGTTTTGCCCTAAAATTACATATAATCTATTACATATTCTAGCAAATGTAGGCATTATTTCAATGTTTATCCACGTCAATGTACATATATATATATATATATATATATATATATATATATATATATATATATATATATATATATATATATATATATATCAATGTTTAAGGATTATATTAATTCTTAACTATATAGTGTAATAATGACGCGGGAGGCGAGTTGCTCGTCTGAATCATTGTACAAACAACAATGATACATAAAGTAACACCAGAATAATAATACAGCTGATAATAATAACAATAATCATAATAATAATGTTACAGATAACTTGTATTACACTGATGATCATAACTCATCTCCACGACGCATTTCTCCGGTCAAAATGTAGACTAATACACCGAGTTTTCCTTACTATTCACTTAAGAGTTTGCTTTATTCCTGAATAATGTTAAGGAGTAAAGTATATATTTCCTGGTTGAGCCGTAGACTCTTGCGGCTTTAATGGCCTCGTACAGTGAAGAGTACAGTGAATACAACGTACAGTGAAGAGTACAGTGAATACAACGTACAGTGAAGAGTAGCTGCTCACAAAAATTCACGTTTCCAATGCATCGGTAGGTTAAAGGTTGGGTTAGGTTAGATTGGGTTAGGTGGGTGGGTTGGGTTCGTGCTTTACAGGTTAGGTCAACACTTTGTATTTTGTGACAGATCAAGAGAACGGGTTATTCTGAGAGGTTGATAGGCCTAAGCTGCAACAACCCCTCCCCCCCCCCCTACACACACACACACACACACACACACACACACACACCTTTCATGGGTTTCAAAGCAAATTTATATTGCCAATCTTCACATAAATTGCTCACGCGGACAAAAAAAACACCACACAGATATATTCCACACACCCACACAGCTTAGATATATTCCTCCTTCATCAGCAAGCACGGTGACGGTCAGACGATCGGTTGGTTGTAACAAGACACACGTCTCTGGTTGCAAGAGGCATGCGCTTATTTATTGCAAGTCCATGTGTAAACCATGATACATTGACAAAGGCTGTTTACTTAAATAATATATTTTCTCCAATTAATCAAAAGCCCTCGTAAGATCAGACGTTGGAATGGACGAATAGTGACGACAGCAATATTCAACAGCAGATAGTCAAGCCTGAGTCTGTAAACAAACAAAGTAAACCAAACACAAAACTTTAAACAACGCAAAACAAGACTTTAACCCCACGAGAGCCTGGCCTCGCCTCAACAAGGTCCCCACATAGACGGGCGATGAGTCACAATAACGTGGCTAAAGTATGTTGGCCAGACCACACACTAGAAGGTGAAGGGAC